TGGTTTCCCACCGATGAATCGGTGACGTCCACGTGGTCTCCCACCATTTGGTCTCTCGTTTGTACGATGGCCTCCACCATCCTGCTGACGACACGGGGCTGAGCTGTCATGGCTTTGTCCACTTTTTTCCTAGACCCAGCTGCCTGCAGCTCCTGTTTTAATTTGGTCATTTCCCTGTCATGGGTTGTTTCCTTTAACTGAACCTCTAGTCTGTAAATCTTCTCCTTAAGGGCTTCAATGGTCTGCTGCTGAAGCTCTATCTCTTTCTCAACTTCCGTAGACAAGCCAAGCATGGCTTCCGTCACCACAACCCCAGACTCTCTCGTTTCTTTCTCTGTCCCCACAGCTACTTCTCTGTGTTGCCTCGCAGATCTGTTGTATATAATCACATCGTTCATGTTCTCATCAGCGCCTACAGCAACAGATCGGGTTTCTTTTGTCAGGCTTTCTCTGTTCACCCGAAGGTTTGCAGGACTTTCATAGTTGCTGTCCTGAATTTTTTTCTCCAGGGCTTGCATCTCAGCAGTCAGCTGCCTGAACTCCTCTATCCTCTGAGAGCTCTGCTCCACGCTCTCCATGTCTTCTTCACAATCTATATACAGTTCTCCACCTCTTCTCACTTGAGACAGGTGTTCCCACTGCTCCGCATTTCCTGCACTGTAGGATCGTTTTCTGAAACCATACATGTCGTTTTGAGTGGCTTTCCTCTGGTTTTTGAGTTCAGCCATCATGTGCCTCTTTTCTTCCTGTAACACTGAAATTTTGACCTGCAGCACAGGAATGGTCTTGACTTGCTCCTCAAGCTCCTTGAGACGCTTGAGGGCAACCGCCATTTGCTCCCTGATGTGCTGCAGATGCACTGGACTCACGTTGGTGACTGGTGTGGATATTCCCGAGCTCATGGGGCTGTGACGAATGGAACTGCCCAAGGAGGAGCCGAAGCAGGTGCCATAGTCGCCGTTCCCCTGATACCCGTTCTGCAGCTGCTGAGACATGTGACCGTATCCACTGGATCCCACAAAAGAAGGGAGGGAGCTCGTGGAGCCCATGCCTCCAAAGCTGGAAAGCCGGGGTCTGCGGACATCGCCAGGCGTGACCTGCATCATCCTCTCCTGCTCAAGCCGCCTCCGTGTTTCCATGAGGGTCTTTGTTACATGGAGATTGTGCCGAGGAGGCTGGGGGGAGGGAGGCGGAAGCTGCTTACTCTCCGGGACAGTTAAGTAGGAAGGAGATGCCTCAAAGGAAACAGAGGGTCTTGCAGTGACGGACGAAGTTACTTGACTCCTCGCTGCCAGACAAGACTGCTTGTTCTCATCGCTGTTTGACGAAGAGAGAGACTCCGTGGAGGTCCAGCCGCTGCACTGCCCACCAGAGTTCTTGGTACCCGCCGAGGCTGGTACGGCTTTCCTCTTCTTTCGGATGTTTAGTTTCTTAATGGTATTCCCCTTTTGTATATCATCCACGTACTTCAGAAAATCCAAGTCTAGCTGGTAGCCGTAAGGAGTTTCCACAAAATAGGGGTCTTTCCGTTCTTTCTCATCTTCTCCACTTAAAACAACTTCCTCTTTTTCTGGAAAAGAAGAAATGAAATCAGTATTGGAAAGGCAACTATGTCTCAGTAAGCTACGCGCTGAAACGCAAGCACAGAAAAGACGGGTGCTCACAGCATGCCGGAGGCAGAAACTGCTGCTGCAGCTCAGCGAGCAGACCAGCTTTCTGCTGACTGACCCTCAACACTAAATCCCGATTAACTTTTAAAAAGTTAATCAGTAGGTTCTCAAACGCTGAGAAGTGCATACCCACGTAAATGTGTACACATGCACACACACACAGATAACATGTCTGTTAACAAAGGGGCACAGAAGTGGCACGGCTAGTAGTTCAAAGCTGTCCTTCCCCGAATCCCTCCAGTCTTCCCATGTCACACCAAGCTTGCACACACCCCCTACACCATCACATAAAGACCACAGGATTACAACGTACCGCGTGAATCATCCGGAGACCAACTTCTCTAGAGGGTGTATTTGAGCAGGTGACGGAAACTCCAACCCCGCTCCTTATGCAACCGATGCCATTAGACTTTACACGGATCTGCAGCTGTTTTACGGCTTTGGGAACTGCTGCTGCATGAGCAGCAATACCAGTTTGCTCTCACCTCAAGTCACATTACTTCCACCAGTGCCTCTGCCTCTTTCATTTTAAACCGCACGAAGCCCCCAGCACCAAGACAGGCAGCAGGATCCCCTTCCAGCGGGGACCCAAATCCCACTGCTGAGGGAGACTGTCGCCTCGCCCGTGAGCAAAACCCGTCCGTCCTACAAACACAGGACTCGCCTGTCCCCAAAGCAATCTAAATAAAACTTCACCAGATCCGCTGAGCTTCCTTGGGCTGAGTATTTATATGCTGCGCTGCTATACAACCTGCTCCTCCAATCCCACTTTAGGAGGGAAAAAAAAAAAAAGAAAAAAAGAAAAAAAAAGGGAAAAACAACTGCTGCGAGTTGTGAGCTGGAGGAATGACAGAACAGCCAGCTTTCCGGTTACCTGAATTAGCCACATGCCTCTGCCCCCACGCCGCAAATTTTCCAGGCACGTATGGCTGCCCCAGCTTCATGTGTCACACGCCGACGCCCGGCCTCCCTCCCGGCTTTCTCCTTCTTCACCCCAT